TGCCTTGCAAGTTCATGAAACTATTTGTTTACCATCTTTGGTTGGATATGTATTCAAATATTTTAGATTTTTTTTTATTTAATTTTTATGTATATATTAAATTTAAATTGTATGTGGATACGAATTGAATTAGATTTCATTTTTAACCAAAATATGGATATTTTAGTTGTGTTTACGAATTTTATGGTATATGTTTTATTTTAGGATTATTATCATAGTTTTTGTACATCGAAATTGTTATTCTTGAACATAAGCTTGTTTATTTTATAAAAACATGAAAAAATAACTTTTGTTGATGCAAAATTATGACTAATTAGCTAAGTGGACGAGTTGATCTAAGAAGGAGCGAGGAGCGAGGTATTCGAAGGAAGATCTACAAATAGAGAGTAGACACTCCGATGCTCAAATCAATTAGTTTGAGGTATTTGCTCTCAAGACGAGCAATCAAAATTGTATACCTACTTATGGAGCGAGTCTCTGTATTTGTAATAGGTTGGTGGGTCCCACTTGTCGAGCGATACAATCATCATGTGGTCTACAACGCGTTGTCAGAAAGATGTGGTTGAGTGGTTTTGTGATATTTGTTCATTCTTGTCGAGCTATAAATTGAGACTAAGATACCCCGTGATCACCAAGTTATCATTTCCTTTACGGTCGACGTACACTGTGGTCGAACTATCATTTACGAAAATAACCCATACTCAAATTGAATTAGCCCATTTCATCACATTGAACCCTAACACACATTACTAAAGTCAAAACAAATCGATTTAGTTGAGTTAGTTTCGCCAATTTTTTTTTTTTTTTTAATAATTTGACATTGTGCCCCTAATCTCTAATCATATTTTAATTAAACTTTGTTCTAAAAAAAACATCAAGCCATCCAAGAAACAAATTTCCAAACAAAACCCCTAATGGAAAACTTTAGACTTAAAGATATAAAATTAGTGCTTCTAATTAACATGTTAAAGTGATAGAGAAACAAGGGTTTTTCTTTTTCATGACAAATTATTTAAGAAGTACATATGATTACCATCACAAATTTCCAATCAATCAAATCCACAGGGGCAAAACCATTCAAAAGTGACCAAAAGTTTCCTATCAATTATATGACCATTTTGTGCCAATTTTTAATGTTAAGCAACTCCATCCCATTTGCAATGGAGATCTAAAATTTTCAAATGGAAAAAATGTCCGGGTGCAATATGTGCGAACAAAGTTCTGCATTGGCTATAAAATGAAGTGATCTGTGATATATAGATGAGGACAATTATCTCCATTGATATGAAACTTTTTAGGTGAGACCAAAAGTAAAATCGTGAGGATTATGCCTAAAGCAGACAATATCATTGTAGAGGTACTTTTGATATGAAGGTATCGTTGTTCTGGACAGGAAACCTTTAATTAACCTTAAAAAATAGAGATGTTGAAACTAAAATATAGGTGGGATTGTTTCGATGAGATAAAAAGATAAACTCCTAGAGGTTTGTTAGTGGCTTTGAGCATCATCTCTATCATTGGAGATGGATTTGAGTGAATAGCCTTGACTTTCGTATGAAGTTAAAGTGACATTTAACTTCATTTGAGTTATATGTCGTATACGTCTTCGAATTTTAAGAAATATTTAATAGTTGTCTAATATTTGCAACATGATATGTGAAACGCAAACTTACCCGATATAACATGAGTTCTCACTTAAATACAATATAAAATTTTAAAACAAGAACTAAAACAAATATTAAAAAAAAACTCTAATGTAAAATCCAGTTGAGAATACGAAGACAGCTAAAATACGATCTAAATTTTTTTTTTCTTTTTTATCTCCATGAATCAAATCAATAAAAATTGGAAAATGTGAATGAAGAAACAAAGAAGGTAAGAAAGTTAAAAATAGCAAGTGATGTGATGGAAACAAAGAGAAAAAGATGAGGCTTTTACACATTAAATTCATCTTTGTACACATCTTGAGTTCATTTAAGTTTGGTAAAGGAATTGGATGCCATTTTTCCATTAATATACTTCTTGCAAAATCTTCACTACTAGAAGTTGAAGTTTGATTTTTTATTTTTCTTTGGGAAGATTTTGTAGCTCAAAAATGCCTAGACCCATTTATGTAAAGTCACTAAAAAAAGAATTTGTGAAGGACATTTTGTCATTCATTCAAAAATAGTTGAAAGTAATTATTTTCCCATTGTTTTTATATAGTAATCAAGTGTACATTTTCAATGCAAGCAATGAGGGGTAGAAATAGTGCCAAAAATGAGAGATTCTTGTGCAATTGGAAAGAAATGAGCAAAGTTGTAGAATTTGAAGAGATATTTTAAAGTAATTGGAAGTAATGGCGAGTAAATGTTAGCGTCGGTTTGTATTTTCTATTATAATATTAAATTGAACTACTTTATTCAAGAGGCTCGAACCCTTAAATAGGTCTACTAACCCAATGATGTGAATCTCCAGGACATGTTAAGTCGACCAATCAATCAAAATCAGAAGAATGACTAACACGTTTTTTAGCCCACGACCTCTCATGGAAGACAAATTGCATGGTTTCTTTTTCTTGTATGTATATAAATCTTTTTGAAAAAGAATATTTTACTTTTAAAAAATATATAATTTTTTTTGTAATTTAGAGTAAATGATTTAGACTTATATATCTTATAAAAATCATTATACAAATTTAAGCCGCCAACATAAAGTTATGGATCCGTCATCGACTTTATTATTATGTATTCATCTTCGAAGTAATAACTAAAAATAAGACAAATGGATTTGGTGGCGTGAGATGGTAAAATGTGATTTAGTTCTTATTTATTATCTAAAATCTGATTATATTTTTTAATAAATTAACAAATTGGTTAAGTTAATTAGGTTTTTTTAAATATTTTTTAGTATAATAAATATGGAGCTGGACACTCCAAACTCCGATTTCAAGCCAACAAGTAAATGTCTTGAACTTTAATTTTCAAAATTGTGACTATTATCAAATTTGTAATAAAATACTTAACCGTATGGTTATTTTGATAAAAAAATATACATTAAGAATATTGTTAAAATAAATGGTAGATTAGATAACGCAATGGCAAAGTTAGAATATTCTAATATATATTGATGGGACTACAATTAATTACATGATTAATAAATGTCCTAAAATTGGACCATTTCCTCAGTCAACTGGAGATTTTGAATATTTGACTTTTGAATCATGACAAGTCAATTATTTGACTTTCTAATTATTTCTATTTTCTATTATTTCAATTTATAATAAAGAAATTATTTTTAGTTCCTGTCTGCGAGTTTCAACTTTTGATTTCAACATTTTTCTGAATGTTCCTTTTACAGAGTATGATAATATTTGGGTCATACTTAATAATAATAATTTTAGTGGAATTTGAACTAATGAATATAATTGAATTATTTATCCGAACATATCTTAATAAATAAAATATCTATTATTATTCTTGAGAGGTTAATCATTTAGTCCCGCTCTTCGATGGTTTAAATTTCTGCTTTGCAAAGTAATATTAGAAAGAAGTAAATTTTAATTTTAGTTTTTGTCAAAATAGATGAAGCTTACGCAAACAAAATTCTCTGTTCTTCAATTTATTTATTCTTTTAAATGTATTTAAATTCTTGGTTCAAGAAACTACCATTTTTAATAATTTCGTCTCTCATTAAATCAACCAAAAGGAATAGGTAGAAAATTATGAAGAACAACAGATACTATATTAAAAGCCCAAAACTAATGGACAGCCAATTCCCAATCCCATAAGAAATTTTGATGGTTCATGGTAAGATTATGTTTTTGCCCTTTTTATGTAATTTCCAAAAATAATTCCAACCCTTTAGATAAGGGTTTCATTTATAATTTTCTATCTTTAAAATCTTGTTTACTTTCTCACTTAACGAGTTTGCTGGGTGAAAGTTAATGAGTAGGGAGGAGGATGGCTAGTGGTCTGATTCCCTCTTCTCTCTTTTTCTAGGAGGGTGTACACTCTCTCAATCCTTCGACTAAGTTTTTTKAAAGGGAATTATTATCTGTTTCAATATCTTTTTCCCCGCTGGTTTCTATAGTGGCGGACGGTGGCTGAGTTCGAGAATCTTCAAATATTAATAATGTTTAGAAAACTTGCCTAATGTATCCTTTTTATGACTTTTCTTTCATTACCTATCATGGTGGAGAATATTTTGGAGAAGGTGTTTTGTAGACTTAAATTTATTCCTATTTCTCGTTCTTTGAACAAACAAACTATTTTGATGTAACTCTTAACGTCCTATTTCTTATTAACATAGTGAAAGAACAAAAACAAGTTTCAAAAACTATTTCTAGTGGAAGTAATAATCTAGACTTAATTTTAAAATAAAATTCTCAAACAAAACTTTAATAATTACTTAGTGTAAAATAATAATAATAATAATAACAACTCATCGTCCAATGATAAACTCAACTGATTGAAGCATATGTCCACTTCTAAAAAGTCAGAATTTTAAATTTACACCCCCACAAGTCGATGAACTATAAAAAGAAAAAAGATCTCTTTTTTTCAAAATTTAAAACCCCTGTAAAGATTCACAAAGCCACCCCCAGCAGTCATAAACCTATACCACCATCCAACAATTTAGGCCGACAATACATTGCCAAGGGGCAAAATAAGATCTGCCCTACAAAATGTGGGCAATACAAATCTTCCAAGTCCTAAATTGACTGTACCCCGTTCATAGCTTGCTCGAGCTTCAAACAATCAATGACACTACATATCACACAAAATTATGCAAAATGTACCAGTAGAAAGAACATCATTAATAAATTCAAAGCCGACCAAATTTCAGACCCAATTTAACATGTATTAATGTCTAATGGGGCCCTGCGAAGTCACACCATGGTAAAGAAACCTATCGGTAGCAGTGTGTATGTATGTGGATTGAGCTATACTATAATCCATACTTCAAATATGAATATATTTTCATTTGAAATAGAATAAAAGAAAAGGGGTAAAGATGAATAAACCGCCGAATGAAAAAACACTAAATTCACTTCAATCTTCAAAATTAGTAAACGTTGTAGTAGCCTAAGTTCAACAATCAACTCAAGGTTCCAGAAAAAAATTAACAAGAGACAGAAAATCAACGTTCAAGGTTTTTCCTTCTTATATATAAGAAAATGCTGCAGCCATATTCCATCCCACTACATCTTCTCTAATGGGAGAGACAAAACTTGGCCATTTAGCGGTACTGCAAGAAGAGTTGAGGTTCAACAGATCAGAAGATATTGAAAATGTTTTGATGTGGACATGGTTTAAAATAATCAAGAATTAAAATATTTACCTTGATGAATCCAATTTCCTTGGCGTTGCTGCGGAAGCATTGTCTGCAGCACATAAGCCCATACTTTCTGATCAACCCGTGAGGATTTCCACAAACCCGGCTGGACAAGACAAACAGAGAAGACATTAATTCAAACAAAAGCAACCTCCATATCATACTTTTGCATACTAATACCCTCTTGATTAAATATTAACCCAACCAAATCTATCCATAAATCCCAAGATCATTAGACGCAGAGACAGACGATCAATGTGGCATCACGTCAACTCTTTCACTAATATCATTATTCAACTGAACATCAATCAGCAGGTTAGGCAAATTAAACTAACATTTAGCCCATCCAAAAGCCACAAACACCATGAGTAACCTATTCCTAAGAACTCCTACCATTCTATCAACATTCAAACTATAATCTAGAATAACTTGGGCAAAAGCAATCACGAATTCCATGCCTAATCACCATTTAGCAAAACGGTACAAATAAGTATAAAGGAAATTTGACAATCAAATAACGATAACTCTTAGTACGGTAGACAAAAGTATATTCATCACAAATGTATAGAAGTATAGATTGCAAAGACAAATCATTAACGTAGTAGTTGGTCTAATGTTGAGCTGTTATAGTTGTTGCAAGAGGCTGGTTTCCGTTGTAAACTATTCTATTCATCAGATGACTGTAATCCCAAATTCATTACTACACAATTTATCTTAGATGTGAGCAACCCTTTTTCTTTCTATCGTCCCTCCGTTATTATTATCCTTAAATGAATCACAGATACGTTGTCATGGATGTCCAAATCAAATAAAAGAAACAAATTTTCCGCAGAGGGCTAACATGAAGCGGAAAAAGGATAATAGTACATGAAATTAGACCTCAATGCATCGACAAAAGATCATTCGCTATAACATTCCGCTCATGTGCTTCTACATATACCAACAAGTGCAAAATCACTTTTATTAAACATATCCAACTCAAACCCAATAATCTATTTTCTTCAAAAGACTTTCGAGCTACAACTCTTTAATCCATAAAAACAAGCAGTTGTTCAAGCAAAAGATGGGATCGTCAATCGTAGGAGAAAACAGTTGATCAAATCTCATGGGAATCATCTCAGAAGGGAAGCGTGGGAAGAGAAGAAGAACCTACCAGGTGCGAGAGCCGGGACCGTAGTTCTTGGGGTGGGAGTTCCACACGTTGGAGTGCCCCATGATTGGACTGGGATCGAAAAGGCTCGCAGGGGCTTCGAAAATCTCTGGGAGCGGCGACGGCTTTCTGGAGAGCGAGCGGGAGAAGAAAAGGTCGCTATTTATAGCGGAGAACCGGAGACGAAACCCTAGCAGACGCGTACGGAAAATTAAAAAAAACAGATATATTTTATGAATTCCTTTTTTTTTTTGTGAATATGTAAATTTCCCAAGTGGATTTTTACTAAGTTTTTTTTACAGTACAGTATATGTGGGATATTTTTTTTAATAATGTTTTAATTAAAACTCATTCCAAATATGTATTCAACTCGCAAACTATTTTCAAGAATAATATTTGGAAAATTACAGGTCGTCTTTTCGTGCCACTTCACAATTTTCGAGCTGCATGACGCCTTGTTTGCACCATATGTGTGTATTTTTCTTTTAATTCTGGCACGTCGCCTCTTCAAGAGACGACATATGTCTCAATTGTTAAAAATTATCATTTTGGTACACTGGTGGTAAGCTTGCTTTTTAATCTTTATTTTATTAGTCTAATTTAGTGTCACTTGTTTCTCTAAATGTTTAAAATTGTTTAAATTTTACATAAAATTTTATTGAACTTTACACTTTCCAATCACGAGGGTTACCTCACATTTCCAATTAATTAAACCTAACATTTTGTACTTAAAAGAGAGAAAAAAAAAACTAAACCTAAAATTTTCACTTTTACAAACGAATATATACACATATATATATTTAATAATGGACAAAACGTGAGTTTAATGGAAGATGAAAGATTAAAATTGAGATATTAAAAATAAAAGAAACTAAAATAAAAAGTAGATTTAAAAAAAAAAATCAAGGACAAAATCCACAAATTAGAAACAAAACTAAAAAGTTAACAAACATACAGGAACCGAAGCAACATTTAAATTAAAACAATGAAATGAATAAAAAAATCATTTTTACATAATAAGGTAAGTTAGATTATAACCTCAAATTTGCATTTTTATTCTCTCAAAAAAAAAATTTAAGTATAACATTCGATCTATCATAGCCTCTCCACCGATTTTTAAGACTCTTCGGCAGAAATCCAGTTGGGTCTTCCTACGTACCTAGCATCCTGGGACGACCCTTCTTGAAGATCACTCCAAAACATCCTTTCATCGCTCTGAGCTCATCAAGTACTAGTTACCTAGTTTGCCGGTTTCAGAGGTCTAGAAGCTCGAAGCATCCCAGCTCATTCTTTTGCAATTGATGTTACGGATCAACCCCAATTTTATCCAATTCAACTTTTAAGTAATATCTCATTGAAATTAAATTAGAAAATAGCCATGAGCTCCGCGATAATTGACACATGTCTCTAAAAATAATGATTTGAATCCCTCCCTTCTCACTTGTATTAAAAAAAATCTTCTACGAAATACTAATGACTCGCACCAAAAAAAAATTATATAAAAAAATAAAGGTAAAATAAAGGATCACTTTTTCTTTTTTTATTTGACAATATTTAGGGGTTAGGGGTAGAGATTTGAATTTTCTACCGTTTTATCCATAATATATGTTTTAACAAATTTAGCTATTTTCATGTTGGAAGGAAATATCAAATTTTGACCATAAAAATAACTAAACCTCACCACAAAAACAAGTAGGTCGAAAGCTGTTAAAGCTAAACAATTAAATTCATAGACACAAATCAATTTAAACATAGTTCTAACAGATAAGACACCAAATACTTCATTGAGGTTGAATGTCCAATCTTCCTCCTCGAGATTTAGCTATGAGAACACTAGTGACTGTTTTAGATGTTGAGGTGAAAATTTGAATCATCAACCCCTCGGAAAGGAGTAGATTTCTTATGCTTGGATTTGACAATTTTCAAACCCATCATTCAAATTTATGATTCAATCAGATAAAATTAAAATGTTAAATTTAAATAAAAAAGAACTATTTCCAATAACAAACTGATAAAAGTAAGATGGTGTATATATATATATATAAAAGCTAAATTACAAAAAAAAAAAAAAATCCTGAAACCTGCCTTTTGTTTCAAAAAAAATATAATATCATTCGAAAAGTTTCAATATTACGCTACAAGAGTGATTCTTATCATTAGCGATGTCGCTATCATTGCTAAGATTTTGACTTGCAAACATACTCTCCAACAAGATACTTAACGCTTTAGCTACATCACTGCACAGATTGATACGCACAACGCTTAGTATCCGTAGTTTATGACAATAACTACTGGTCGACCCCTTAAAAGATAGGGGACGGGACAACAATTTTCTTCTTCCGAAATGAGATTCCCTTACATTTCACAAACGTTTCAAAAATACATTTTGAGCAAATATCCGTCAATATTTTGAATAGAGAATTGACGTGACATAATCTGAAACGACGTGATAATTAACATCTTAATTTTGCCCTAAAAGTTTTTTTCCTCCATTATTGTCGAGATAATTTATTTTTTTATTATCTACCCAATTTTGTCATGATCCCCATTTAAAAAATGATAGCTTCTTTTACATGTCGTATATTTTAAAACTTAATCCAAATTTCAAATAAGCTTCTGCGTTAATCTTCACATTAAATTTCCATTCACAGTATTTAAGAAAGTTTGTTTAAAGGGTACTTTAAGGTGAAAAGTTAGTATTGAAAATTTTGAAAGACACGACATTTTTTCAAACAAATGGGAAATTTTCAACAATATATTTTTGTAATTTAGCCAAAAGAGGAATTATTTTGCACAACAAAACAAACAAATAAATTAAGTTAATGATGTTTTAGTTTTAAAAATATCAAGCACGACAAACAAATTACGAAAACAACACAGCACCATGTTCACAAAAAGGGGTAGCTAAGAGGGGTAATTTCGACAAATCACCATAACATAAATCATTGAGAGACGAAAAAGAAAAAAGAAAAAGAACTTTGGAAAAAAGGCATATTTTCTTACAGATCTACCCAATGAAATTGGAAAAAGTGGCGCCATCGTTCATATTTCTCCATCTGCGAGCACGACGCAACAAGGCAAAGTCAACAATCCCAATCCCCTTAATCAAATCAATTCAAGGTATGGCTTAATGGGGTGGGTGCCGTAATTAGAATGAAAATCCCGAGATAGAAACAGTGACTGTACCACCCAGAAGATTCTTCTTCATCCTCTTCTGGGTAAGCCAATATCGATCATCCCCAAATTTTGTTTGAATTTTCAAACAGATCTGAATTCTGCTTGGCTTTCGAGGTGTTTCTGCACCAGTAAGAACATTCCCTCGTCTCCTTCCTGTCCATGGGGGAAGAGAGAGGGGCCGATGCTAAAATTGCTCCAAAACTAACGATTCTTCCTCTCGTCGCTTTGATTTTCTATGACGTTTCTGGGGGACCCTTTGGAGTGGAGGATTCGGTGAGCACCGGCGGCGGCCCGCTTCTGGCGATACTGGGTTTCTTGATTTTTCCCTTTATCTGGAGCATACCGGAGGCGCTGGTCACGGCGGAGCTCGCGACGAGTTTCCCCCAAAACGGCGGGTATGTGGTGTGGATTTCGGCCGCTTTTGGGCATTTTTGGGGGTTTCAAGAGGGCTTCTGGAAATGGTTCAGTGGCGCAATGGACAATGCTCTGTACCCTGTTTTGTTTCTCGATTACTTGAAGCGTTCTTTCCCTGTTTTGAACCATTTATTCGCTCGAATTCCAGCTCTGTTTGGAATCACTGTCTCTTTAACTTATTTGAACTATCGTGGTCTGCACATTGTTGGGTTTTCTGCTGTTGTTCTTGCTGTGTTTTCGCTTTGCCCTTTTGTGGTGATGGCCATTCTTTCAATCCCCAGAATAAGGCCCAAACGGTGGCTAGTTGTGGAGTTTAGCAAGGTGAATTGGAGGGGTTATTTCAACAGTATGTTTTGGAATCTGAACTATTGGGATAAGGCAAGTACTGTGGCAGGAGAGGTTGAGAATCCAAGCAAAACTTTCCCCAAGGCCATGTTTGGAGCTGTGGTTTTGGTGGTTTCTTCTTATTTAATTCCTCTTCTGGCTGGGACAGGTGCCTTGGAGTCAAATTCAAGTGAGTGGAGTGATGGGTATTTTGCAGAGGTTGGGGCCTTGATTGGTGGGGTGTGGCTCAAATGGTGGATTGAAGCTGCTGCTGCCATGTCTAACATGGGCTTGTTTGAGGCTGAGATGAGCAGTGATGCTTTCCAACTTCTTGGGATGAGTGAGATGGGAATGATCCCTTCTGTGTTTGCTTCAAGGTTGGTGGTTCTGTTCAGTTTCCTTTTTATTCTTCTGATTTCATGGCAACCTTGAGTGACAATAATCTCTCCTTATGTTCCTGCAATTGAGTTTCCTACCTCAAATTGGTAGCAGTGATTCGAAAAACTACCATTCTAGGGAGAGGTCAGAGGTTCAAATCACCATAAACTTGAAGTAAAACTCGTGAGCTCAGATGGGGCAAGATAACAATTAAGAGAACAATATGGCAAGATGAATTCGACAGGATTGTTATAGTAAAAGTACCATAAAAACCCAAAAGCTACAAGAACCCAACGGGTGTATTTAGCTTACGAGCTAAGTTTGTATATACCAAAAGCTTCCTATGACTTTTGAATCATGCCTCTCATACTACACATTCAAACTCAAGTTTATAACCTGCGCGTCTTAAACACAGGCTATACAAACTCAAATTTATTAAAACCGCGAACAAAACCTTCCTGAAGTGCTTATCTCCATATCCAAGTGGGCTGTGAAGCACTTTGAACCATTTTATTTACAAGCTTGTTGTGCGTACACAAAATCTGATCTTATTGAACTACTGTCTCTAATGCACTTTGCAGATCAAAATATGGGACACCCACATTCAGCATTCTGTGCTCTGCTTTTGGGGTTATCTTCCTCTCATGGATGAGTTTCCAAGAAATTCTTGAGTTTCTCAACTTCCTATACTCCATAGGAATGCTTCTGGAGCTTGCTGCCTTTGTAAAACTAAGAATAAAGAAGCCAGACCTCCACAGACCCTACAGAGTGCCCCTACAAACATTTGGAGCCACAATGCTTTGCCTACCACCTGCTCTCTTGCTTGTTCTTGTTATGAGTTTAGCTTCTTTAAGAACATTCTTAGTCAGTGGTTTTATAATTGCTGTGGGATTCCTTCTATACCCTACTCTTTTGCTGGCAAAGAGCAGAAGATGGGCCAAATTCATTTCACAACATCCTGCAGCTCCTCTTCCTGATGTGGAAGATCAGCCAGCCGAGTCGCAGCCGCTGCCTGATGAGGCTGCAGTTCGGCTTCTTTCAGAATCCGAGGAAGCCAAATTCTGATGAAGCCAAACTCAGATGCAGTCGACTTGACCGTTGTTTGTAGGAAAATTTTAGTTCTGAAATGCTTGATTGATGAATCTTTAAGTTGCACAGAATAATGCATGTCATGTAAACCATGTTTATGTACAATGGGCATCATATTCTTTTGAAGCTTTTGTACTTCTACTGATATCTTGTCTATATGATCATTTTTATTACAATTCAATTTAAGCTTAAATGGGAAAATGTTAGTTAACTTGGATCTCGTATATAGTCCGTAAAATGTCGTTTATCAGTTGAGTTAAAAGATGTTTTCGGCCTAATTCAATGGTTTAGTTATAAATTTGTTCGACTTAAATGACTCATTAACCAAATTTATCTTAATTACAGATACTTTTTATGTCGTAATAATTATAATATTACATTAACTAAATATTGTTAATGAAATATGATAGTTTCATCCATGAATTTTGAAGGTTGTGTCTAATAGGTTCGTGAAAGTTTTAAAAGTATATGAACTCTTTAAAAATTATTATATAGGCCTTCAACTTTCAATTTCGTGACAATACATCTATGACCTATTAGACATTTCTTAAAAATTTATCTATTAGACACCAAACTAAAAATTTAGAGACTTATTCAACACTTTTTGAGGTTCAGGTATTTATTAAGCACAATATTTACATCAATTGGAGACTCTTAAAAGTTTAGAGATCAATGTAAACCAGTAATTTAATCCTATGAAATAATTATTACATAATTATACAATTTTGTAGAAAGAAAGTAAACATACAAATACAGAGAGAGAGGGGGGGAGTTGGAAGATTAAAAACTGAAATACGAATTTAGATAGCTCTAACTGCCAGACCTCCATTTTTGCAGGGGCTGTAAGCTTGAACTATTACTGATATTGAGCCATATTCCTTCGTCCCGACAAATGGAGAAAAAGGAAATGGCAAAGTAGGACGAYGCTAGAACCGACCATTGTCGGTTTTCAATGAGAATTGAAGCTCATACATTCTTATTTTGCTTCCTATATTTTCCAATACATGCAGTGTAATTATCATAGGGATATTAATTTTGGCATGAATTATCATAGGGATATTACTTTTGGCATGAACCTGTTACCTCCCAAGCCATGCTATTTCTGAGTCTAAGGATCGACGAGCTTGAGCTCAAGCTCAGTTTAGCATCCGAAGTCATATGGTACGAGTCCTTGCAACTCGGGGCCACTTAGCCTGTTGTTTTCATAACTGCAGCAAAGACAAAAACATATACAGTCAATGGATCAAGAACAAAAGATCACAATGGAAGGTTGTTCAAACATGCGATTCAAAGTCGCGGCAAAATGATAGATAGAAGTGGCCAGAAGTACTCCAGAGCAATAACAAACATTTCATAAGATGATGGAGAAGAAGAAGAGGAAGCACAATAAGATAGTATCATTGACAAAGAAGTTGTAGCTTGATCCATCTCATGAGAAGTTCATCAATCATTTAAGCAGATAACTGTTTCTACTACAATATCTGCTTGTACATCATCCGATCAAATTGAATGGTGACTTCTATTTTCTTTAAAATAAATGGATGAATGTCGTTTATTTGTTGTCGGGTATTGTTCTTGCACTAGTTTAGGCAAGAAAGCAGCTACTGAAATTCTACAAATGTCCAACCCGTGATTCAAGTATTTGGATTCAGACAATACACCAGACAAGAATTCGCCCTTCTTATACATATCTATATATGTATGTGTGTATGTACAGTCATGTAAAGATGTAAACGATATCGGTTTTCTAATTAGATAAGCAAAAATCAAGCAACCATGAAATTTCTGTTTGTTCCGTAATGCTGAATATCCTTAATTGTGAAACACAGGCATGAATGTGTTCAGAGAAGAAGACAAATCAAAAGGATCATCACCTTTCCATTGGGAAAGTAGAAAAGGGGCCGTCAACTGGAATTGTTCCACATATATCATTGTTTGAGACATCACTGCAGAAAAAGTTAAAGATAACAATAAGTTCCCATGAAGTGGAGAGAGAGAGAGATAACAGAGCAATTGTTTCTAAACTAAAACATACAAAATCTTGAGTTTAGAGAGCGATGTGAGTTCCCTTGGGATCGATCCTGTCAACTTGTTGTTGTTCAACCGTCTGTTTTAACAAATCAAACCCAATAAGATACAAATTTCAGAGAGTTGAACGAAACTTTTCAATGAAAATCAGAAAGTTGCTTACAGAAATCTGAGTGACTTGAGTTTGGCGAAAGATTTCGGGATTTTTCCTTCAAATTTGTTCTCATACAGATCCATGCTTACAAGGTTTTTTAAATTACCCAGCTCTGAAGGGATTTTTCCACTTATTCCATTCCTGTAGAGTTCCCTGCAGAGCATTGAAAAATAAAGCAGAAAGAAGTCAGTGATGATGATGCTGAATGCAGCAAAGAAGCTGAAGTCCTGAGATAATTTAATTTGAAGAGAAAACCACCTGCAATCGAATTTACAAATATGTCTACAGAACTGATTTTAAATAAGACAACTTGTTCATCATGTTGTTTTTCTTGAGATAATTTTTTAGAAACTCGGAAACAAAAGAGTTCGTTCTTTTTTTTTTTTTTTATATGTTTGTTTGGCGTTATAATTTCTAACTTGTAACGAAGGAACACATATCTAATCAAACATAAATCAAAGTAAACAGAAATAGTACAAAAAACCGTCAAAAACATATGTTTATTTTCATGAAAAGTTCTCAGTAAACATACACAACCAATCCCAAAATCTGCACTGCACTTGAGGCAGCTCTAGCTATGCAATCCGTACTGTGCCATGAAGTATTTTTCCCAATGATGTTCAAGAAATACAAGAAGTTTCCATATCTTTTTTTTAAAAAAAACCCAAATAATTCATTAGTGTCCGGCCAGTTAACGTCCATCTCGATTGATTTTAAAGACAACTGCTAGTCGCTCTTGGAGAAACTTATAGGATATCTAACACGGCAGAACCAAAACACACCCAAAAAAAAAAATCTAAATAATTCTCAAAATGATGAAGAGGGCGAACAGTACAGATACTGAAGATGCTGGAGCTCGCCAAGTTCAGGCCCCAAAGTCCCAGAAATGTTTGAATTCCCCAAATCCCTGAAAACAAAGAGGGAAAACAGGGTTCAATTTCGACTATGTAACCTGTTGCGGGTAACCAAAAAACCCAAATACAGAACGAAAAGAAAGAATCTCACAAGCGGATGACATGGCTATCAGAATTACAGGTGACATGAAACCAAGTGCAGGGATTGACCAGCGTAGGGTCCCAACTCTGCAGCACATTGGTGGGATCAGAGAGCCTTCTCCTGAGAGCATGAAGAGCATTTCCTGAAACCAGATCAAATCAATCAGGAGATCAACGAGAAACTCACAAACTAACTCCAGAGAGAGAGAGATAAAGAAACAATCAAAAATTCAAAGAGGCAAAACATCAAACAGTTTACAGGCGACAAATTTACCTTCGGAGTTGGTGGAAATTGCAGGGGAAAAAGAGAGACCCAGAAGGAGAAATCGAAGGAGGAGAGGGAGAGAAGCCATTTCCAGCGAAAACAGAGAGATTGAAGAAAACCCCAGAAGAGAAATAGAGGGAAAACCCAAAAAAAAACGATGAAAAAGAGAGGATATATGAATTGAAGGGGACAATCACAGTGGGATTGAGCAGGAATCTGAGTCAGGGAGATTGATGAGTCAAGTCAAGGGAAAAGAAAAGAGAAGTGGAAAAAATGTAGAAAGGGGAAAGAAGTTTATTGGGCGTTTTCATTTCAGAGGCAGAAGAGAGAAGGCATAGGTGGTTGGTGGGGTGGGTAGGTGGGTCAGAGGCAGAGCTCCGCCGCGTGAGGGTGGTGGGTCCGGTCCGGCGCCGGCGAGGGGCCCACCACCGTTTTGAAGCTTCTTTCCGGGATGATGGCTGCTGCTTTGGGGAACCGGTGGACTGAAAACACAGGGACTGGGGAGAGTGGTTTTTTCGACAGTCCAACTTTTTGTTCTGAAAGTGGGCCCCACTAAACTAATTATGTCCTGAGTTGTCCTTTTTTTGGAAAAATATTTATTGCTCTTACGGATTCCTTACATTCTTAATCATCGCTTGAATATTTGATGTAGTTTTTTTTTTTTGGTAATTTTAAACTTTCGATTTATTTGATTTATTTATTATTATTATTATTTTCTCTAATGGGAGCGTTGAATCAAGAAATTAACCAACTCTACGAACGTCAGTTCAAACTAGATGAACAGGACAGTGAGTTTCAAACTTCAAGCAGCAAACCTGTAAAATAGAGTGAGCACTTCGATGTCAAAGTCAGTGAAAATCCGAACTAAATCGAGAGAGAATCGAAATGTTCGCGTCCCTTTAAATGAACGGAATGGTTTTATTTATAGGCGAAGAGCCCGACAATATTCCTGACAAGGCCTCAACGGGTCTTTAAGGTTACCGTGAAATGCGGCGTGTTGTCGTAGGGTGTGTCGGAGGTGTGACCGAACTGAGGTAAGCCAATCGGCTCAGCCAATAGCATGGAAATGCGATCGTGAACAAGGTTGTTCGACTCGACCACCGAACGTAATCGGTTCGGTCAAACAGACGAACCGAGATGTGTACACTTTTCATTTTGCATCCACTTGTCAACTATCACGTGTACGCTGAAATCTACCTCTAACGGGGAGTATAGCTCAACGATTAAAATACTTATATCCGATTAAAAGTTTGTGAGTTAAAATACCTATATTTTTATTATTTTTTTTCCCAAGGAGTATGAGAGACCTTTTTTCCCTATCCACTAATACTATTAGAGATGAAATATTATATGATTTTTATTAGTTGATTTAAGAATTTATTTTTCTGTGGACGAGGATAGGAATTAAGCATTTAATTATGGTCAAAATACTATATTTTGATATTGTAGTTTTAATTTTATTCATCTTAGTTCCTGCAGTTTCAAAATATTTATTTTGATTTTTATACTTTTTAAATTTTTGTTCATTTTAGTCCCTTTATCATAAAATTTTAACACAAATTTTATGTATAATGAAAAATATTTAATATAAAGTATGTTTACATTTTAAGAAATATATTAATTGTAATATGGTGTTGAAATTGTGATAGAAAAAATGAGATTTAAAATAAAGTAAAAAGATCAAAATAGTCCCTTCTTAAGAGTAGAGGGATAAAAAATGAACAAATTCAAATTACATAATTAAAATGAACCAAAGTTGAAAGTACTTGAACCAAAACCAATATTTTAAAAGTAGATTAAAATGAATTAAATCTGAACGTACCAAATTAGTATTTTAAACCATAACTAAAGATTTTTCTATTAAATTATAAATTTTATCTTGAAAGTCATACCTATTTATTGATTGTACTTTAAAAAGTTTAAACATATTCTTAAAATTTTAAATTTTGTGATGATTAATAAATCTCAACTATTAACATTGTTTACGTGGAATATTAATTATTTTATTACGTAAAAATGACATGATGGGCTAATTTTAAGTATGTTAGTGATATATATATACATACATACATTTTGAAAGCACCATTTTAGTATATATTTAACAAATGAACAATTCCAACTTATTTCTTTGACTAGTTATATTTTTAAATATCAATTAATTCAAATAGCATATTGGCTGATGCTTGATCCGAAAATTGATATCGTGTTTGGATCGCGAAGTTTGAATGTATGAACCGACATACGAAGAACCTACAAAACACAGTTAGCACTTCGATATTTAGTTAGTACACTTATTCGATCAATACTCGAGAGAGAATATTGATTTGCGTAACTTGCGTGAAAGGTGAGATTTTCTATTTATAGAGGTGAATTCCCAACACAAGACTTCTGACAGTGTTATAATGCCTCTCCAACCGCCTGGAAAACATGGCGCTTGTCAGAGAACATCTTCGTTGTCCTTGCACCTGTAGACACTCTCAATGGTAGACTCGTACATGTTATAGGTCGATCGAAGGACGATATGTTACTCAACCCGACTTCGACTATTCAGTTGATTAAACTGGTTTTTTTAATTTTACACATTTTTAAAAATTAATATCACTTCTTTTAAAATAGATGTTTAAAGTAGTTATTCTACCCAATAATAACATTCTTCTACTAACTTCAATAGAGGTGCATCATATAATATTTTATTGTCAAGAGATTTGAATTATTTTATTTTAGTAAGTAGCTAGTCACCATGTGGTTAGAATATATTTCCGAATTTAATTACTTTTTGTATTTTGATTACTTCAATTTGTTGAATATAAGTTTTAAAATGAAAGATAATCAAATATCAAGAAAAATTTAAGTTTAAAAGTTTATTTTGATTTTACCTTTTTTTTTCTTATGAAATATGGCCATGGTTAATTTATGCAATATATAAGTTGGGCTAAATAAACAATTTCGTGGCTGTGACATTTTTCAATTTCATCAGTAACATTTTCATATTTTCAAATTTATCCACATGCTAGTATCAATTAAAATATTTTGTAATATCATTCTTTTACGTGTCTATTTGATTAAAAAAAATATTTAATCCATAACGAATAAATTTAAAAGTCTCGAAAATATTATTAATGAAAATTGAAAATAACATATATAGTATGATTACGTTACATCTATATTTCACCTTACAGATTATATTTTTAACCTCTACTCGTGTTTTGAAGTTAGAGGTTCTCGAATACCTCTTTTTTTTTTTTTACTAATATAACCAAAAAAAAAAAAGAAAAAAGAAAAAGGTCTATGATTAATTTTTTAATTGTTATTATTCGTCGCAGTGCACCAAATAAGAGGGGAAAATCGCTAAACAAAAATTAAAAATGAAGACCCAAAGCAATCATTAGATTGGTTTAGGCCCAAAATGTCCATTTTTCAAAATTTCATTCTATTTTGTTTTTGTATTCACTTTTCAAAATGAGTTAAATAGAAAAACTATAAATTAATTACAGGTAAAATAGAATTTCAATTCTCGTTTGAAAAATAAAACATACATAACTTAAAGACCATAGATCTATTTTCCATGTTGATTCGAGAGAGTTAAACAAAAATGAGTGGAAGCGTACCTGAAAGTATGAAATTTGATATTCCAAGTTGACAACTCACGATTGGACTTATTGTTTTCTCAAATCTCTTTTGTATTAATTAGAAGAAGTAACGAGTTGTTTCTCTTTCAAGAGATAGAGAGAATATTGTGAAACTTATCTAATTTGGGAACCATAACCCCTATGTAACCGATCAAAATGAAAACACGAGTCGGCTACATGGTTTTTATATTTCCAATTTGGTCCTTCATCAAATTGGAAATTATTTTATGGTATCTATACATTTTGCCCTTGGTCATTTTATAATTAATCCATTAAACAAATTTACACAAGATCACTTCGATCTCTTGGTCTAATTAAATAGCAAAAAACACATCAAACGCTTAATTGTGTGGCCCCATATCATTAGAAATTCTAACACTTTAAACATAGTTCAATGATTTAGATATTTTTCTCTCTTAGAATGGTAAACTTAATCTAAAGAAAAAAGTTTGATTTCTTATTATTCCATGATTTAGATATCTCCTAAAAAGTTTGAAAATGATGCTGGGTGAACTAAAGCCAATGAACATGACCTCCCCAAGTGGCTTGTCTTTTAAGAATCAATTCTTAATTACTACCTTTTTACCCTAATTATTACAAGAATTTGGAAGCTAGTTTCAATAAATAAATAAGAATTTCAAAACTTTTAGTGAGAGAAAATTATTTAAGTAGCTTATTGAATAAGAGACAACTCGAACAATTTTACAGTTCTACAACTCTAGACTATACATATCTAATCCGTGATGCAATATCGCATTTAGTCGTGAATAATTTTATTATTTCTCAGTAACTAAATAATTTGTCGAATTTATTCTTGAAGTACCCTCGTATGATTTAAAACAAATCTGACAAAATAAAAATAATTATTAACTTAGTATAAATCAAATCTATGTATAAAATTAATCAGTTTATGGTTAAATTAACAATAAAGACCTATCAATTCTCAGCCGTTGTTGAATTAAAAAAACACCTTTACACAACACCCTTTAGCAAAAACAATAAAGACTTATTAGAATAAGATATAATTATATTACATTTATACTCATAAGCCCCAGGAAACAAACGGAATAATTTAATATATATTTCAAGCATTCTCATATAATTGATCATAGGAACAATTTTTTCTGAAAGAAGAATTTTTTTTTTTTTTTATTATTGAAAGGATAGAATAAACTCTCTTTAATTTTTGGACATCTATGTGACCTTTTTCCAACATCTTTTCATTCTTCATTTGAAAATTCTCATTATTAATCTCGACAAAGGGGAATGGAAAAAAGGGATGACATCTATGGTGAATTTAATTAAAGCCCTACTCATATATTTGGGAAATTCCTTTAAATGTATTTCATATGTTAATATATATTATTTTAAAATGAAATACATTTCATGATAATTTTAAAAATATAGTAACTTTATTGATATTACACGTCATCAAAGATATGAGCTGACAAACAATTTCTCAGTAATAAATGATACAACAAAATCACCTTTTAATATCGGTTCTAAACTGTCATTGTATACTGACACCTTTTCGAGTGTCATTGTATATATTCTAGAGTTTTAAGCCTCTTTGGGGGCCCTCCTCAATATCCACTTTTTCAAGATCACGTAATAAGGTCTATGTAATGACGCTCTAATTATTCTGAGGTCCTCTTGTCCGCTAACCAATCCATAGCACTCTTGAGCTACGAAGACTTCCTCTCTTCTAGTTATTAGCTCAAAAAAGAGCAATTTCCATTCAGTAGAGGATATTTAAGAAATCATCCCCTCCCACAATAATTTATGCAGTTCAAGGTATGCAACCACACTGTCGTCAAGTATAGTACTGTACGGAGGATAAAAAACTTATAGGGGGTCACCACTCTCTCGTCTTTCCACTCCTATGTGCATACCCCGCCCGATCTATTCTTCCGGACCCGACTGCAATCAGCCTCACGAGTGAGTTTGCAATTGATGTTGTCTTGTCTATGTATTGTTCTTGTGAGGGGAGAAAGCAATTTGTTCCCGGTCAAGCAAAAGCAAGTTTCGAAAGCTACATTTATTGAAATATTTTTCCACAAAAATAAATAAATAAAAATTCCCATATACACTTTGTTTTCCATTGGCCAATATCCATCCACGAGACCCAAAAAATATATATATATATATATTTTTGCTTCTTTTTGGTGACCCAAACAAGAGGAATCACAAGAACCCTAATTTTACATTTACAGAAAGGAATCCCCAAGAAGAGACGCCACTAACAATCATAGTTTTAAAGCCACACATTTGCAACAAGAACCCATTCGATCCCCCTTTTGAAAAAATTTCTTCCTTTTTTTTTTTTGTTGTTCCAAACAAAAACCAAAAAGCTTTCATTTTCACTGTTCTTTTAAATGGGGTTAGCTTTTGAAAATTCTTTCCATTGGATATGGGCAAAAGATTGTTATTCGAGGTTATGATGAAGCTGACAGAAGAGGACTACGATGAGCAAGTACTTCTATGTCCTCCCAAGAATATAATATCACTTTTTTCCCAACCCCACAAACTCCCTATAAATTGGATTTTCCCGGAAAATAACTTCTCAGAAAGCTGTTTGGCTTTGGATTTTCCCGGAAAGTTCTGAGAAAAAAGTGGTGCTGTGTTTGATGATAATTATGGCGAGGGCTGTGAAGGCAAATGCAATATTGCTTAGGTAAAAAAGTTAAATAATTGTTGGCTTCTTGAGTGATAATATATTGATTATATGGTCTTTATCAGCACTACTTTTTTTTTTTTTCTTTTTCCTCCAAACACTAGAAAGATTTTACTGTAATTTAGGTTCCTTTGTTTGCTGGCTTGGGAAAAGTCTATTGGAAAAAGTGGCTTGGAAAAAAGAAAAGTCTATGAGAAAGTTGTACTTTTTTTTTCTCTCTTTTTTAAACATTGTTCATCATTTGGTCAAGTATGATTTTGAGTATGTTTGATGACGTTTTTCAAATGGTTAAAAGCACTTTCTCTCTTGTTTTGAAAACGAACCAGAAGGAATGTTAAAGCGTCTTTAAAAAAGTTTAAAAGTACTCTAAAGTGTTTCATGAGAAAGTAGTCGAGTACTTTTTGCCCAAATACTTTGTTCAGAAGACACTCTACAAAAAGAACTTAAATTTAAGGGGAAAAGAAACGTAGAACCAAACATCAACCAACGTAATTTGTTCAAACAATTTTGGTGAAAATTCAAACTTCGACCCAATAAAGCTTAATTCATTCGTGTAAATTTGACGCTCTAATTTATTATTCTATTGAAGGCGAATGAAGCAATTGAGACGCCAATTTAGCAGCTTTGCAATGGAGTCGAAAGCGAAAGAAGAAGCACTTCAAGAAGAGGACATAGAAACGGAGCCATGGCCCTATAACTCATCCACTTGGGTGCCCCATCCTCGCACAGGAATCTACTTCCCTCAGGGCCATGAGTGGGTCATGAAGGATGTCCCTGAAAATGCAGCTTCCTTCTCTAGGGTTTGCTGGTTTCGAGACTCCGATGGCGTCGATGACCCAAACCCCGACCAAAATCCATCTGTCGGGCCTCGCTTCGCTGCTGCTTTTGGCACCCAGGATCGACACTAGTATTGGTCAATTAGGAGGGGAATGGAGAGTAGGGAGAAGATAAGCCCAGTATATATTCTATGGAAACAGTAAATAATGTGATTTAAGACTTGAGCGTTGAGCTTTGCATAGAATAATATGGAGGAATGCTGGACAATTACCAAAATGACCTTGGAATTAAAATTTGGTATATAGCATAGTAAAAGTTTAATATGGAGGAATATTAGTTAAAAAATTAAGCAATCCTATTCTTAAGTAATAGTAATATATAGTAAAGGGTATATTATAAATACTAAATTACGATAATCTAGCTGTTTAAACTTTTAAGTATAGCACAATTACAAATTACAATCTCGAGACTTTAACATTTATACGAACTAACCATGATATTAATTAAATCGATAGTGATTAATAATTCTTGAAATTCAAAACTTGGAAAAGGAATTTGGAAGGAAATAAAGTGTAAATTAGGGAATAAAAAATGGTGAAGAAAATAAAATAGCATGAAATAATAATGGTGTAGTTAAAAGTTGGTCAAGAAAAGGGAATTGAGGAGAAAAATTCTCTACTAGAAAATAAAGTTAATGTACTTTTTGAGTTTGGTAGGCAAAGAACAAAATATGTGAGAAGGCATATTAAAAATTAAAGATATCTCTAAATTCATGAGCGATAGCTTAACGGTAATTAATATATATTTTTAACCAAGAAAATGACCCACTACAAGAATTTATAGCAATGCCGACGTTGTTTTTCTCAATGCAAGAAAATTCTTTGAGAAAGATAAGTAATCAAGTCGCTAACCAAATTCGTTATTATCTTTTTTCAAGTTTCTCAAATTTTGTTTCTTCTATATTTTAATATTTGATAGTTGTTTCTTGTTTCTTGTTTTTCTTTTCTTCTTTTTTTTGATAAAAAGAGTTTCTTGTTTTCTATAAATTTTAAATTAAAAAGGTAAAAATTTTATATGAAAATTAATTTTTTAAATTATATATTCTATTTTTTACGTTCTACGCGATTCTATAAACATTTTTCAAAAGTGAAAAGTAAGAAACATGAAAAGCTTTCAAATGCTTTATGTTTATCAAAAATCTAGAAACGATAGACAAAAAACAAGAAACTAGAACATTAYCGAGACCGATAAACTTCTAATTTCTTCGTAGTTCTTGTAGAAATGGAATAGTAGTTGAGTTGATACTATTTTCAAATTAACTTTTATCATCTTTATTGTTTTATTTAATGGATTATTTGTTATTTAAAATTTGTTGTAGTTAAAAGTAGTATAAAAAGATTTTCATACAGCATCAAAAACATTTCTCRCTCAACTATATTTAGGTGATGCAGTTTTCAAAAAATTACCTATGATGTCATATATTTTAAGATAGAATTTCTCATTATTTTTTCATTAACATGTTCTATTTATACTATTCATRACCTATATAGTATATGTTGTGCATTTTTTTTACAAAAAGGTGAAATATTCTCCAAGTTTATATTTGATATATCGTGTTTTATACCATCCATGGAAGAAGACTAAAAAKGGCAATAATAATTGAGTATATTTTGACCTTTAATATATTCTATGCCAATGGAACATCACCAACAATTCAGCATATATATATATCATGATTAGTTATGTTTGTTCAACAATTGTTGGAGTCTTCTTAAAAAAAAAAATTGTCCGAGGAGAACTCAACCGATATTAAAGTGTCTTACCCACTTGATTTATGTTTGACATTGACATATATATTAAGTCTTTTGGTTTAAATACTATTTTAGTCTCGATATTTTTGAATTTGGTTTATYTTGGTCTGTCAATTTTCAAAACGTCTACTTTGTTCTTTGTATTGTTTTAATTTTTTCCATTTACTTTCAAAAGGTCTATTTTTGTTTTTCTACCTTAAAAAAAGTCATTTCATTTTATCTAATTTATTTTAATAACAATTCTGGCCTAAAACTTCATTCACTAAATTATGTATTAAATGGTCTCCATTGCGTATAGAATTTGTGTTAAAATTTTACGAATAGGAATTCAAATATGATTGATCTTTAAAAGTACAAAAATTAAAATGAACTAAAGTTAAAGTACATCGACCAAAATGGATGTTTCTAAAGCACATAAATCAAAATGAACYAAAACTAAAGGTATAAAAATAGTATTTAGCCAAACCGAGCATACGGTGAGGACTTTTAATTAATATTTTAGTGGAAACATAGATATAAAGATTTAGATTATGTTTATAATCAAAGGGTTAAATACGTCATTTCATTTCTGAAATATACATCATTTTTKAATTTTTATTTTATTTTATTTGTTTATACAATATGTAATGAAATGAGTTATGAGACTAAAGTGAACCATTTTTTTAATTGGTGGAAGTTTTTAGAGTTTGGATATTGAAAATAAAATAAAATTTCTGATCATCCACCAAATTTTGYCCCCCTCAAAAAAGGAAATTTTCTAGAGAAAAACTTACATGGGTTTTTTTTTCTTCCAAAGAATTCATCACAATTGAAATGGAAATTTAAACTTTTATCTAAAAACAATTAAAAAAAATATTGACCAAATCAAGAAAAAAAAAATATGGACTAAAAGTATATTTATTTTTGCTTTTGGAAAAACTCTTGTTTACTTTCCTATCAATTTCTAACTTTGAATTTTCTATTACCATCTCTTTTGACTTAATGAGCCAATGGTCGGGCAAACAAATAAAATGTTGAAATCTCATTTCAATATTCAAATATTCAAATTTATTTAATTTTTAAATTTTTAAATATTTATTTTATTCCAAACTATTTTAAAAAACAAAATTTGTTATTATTAATTATAATTCTTTTATCACTTTTGGARTATTTATYCTTGAATTTTTTTAATAATATTTATTTTAAACTTATTCCAAATATATATCAGTCATCCAACTATTTCTAAGAATAATGGTTGGAAAATTAAAGGTCGTCGACCTATGCCATTTCACACTTCCCTGATTGCATGACTCCTTGTTGGCGCCATGTATTTATTTTTTCTTTTTAATTCTGACATTAATGTTGTTAAACCCACATCATTTTTKAACAACAAATAAGTCGTAATAATTAAAATTTTTCCTAATTCATATTTATCCACGTCAATATGTGTAATAGAAGCTACCTCATGCAACTAAATGATACTTTTAAAAATTAAAAAATTAAAAATTGACCTTAATTTAATTAGAATAAACTTAAATATTGAGATTTAGTCCGGAATAAAATTTTAATTTCTYTTTTGAAAAAATATTGCTAGTATAGAAAAAAGCTTTTGCAAATGCCACAACAACACACGTTGCTAATAAATAAATAAGTTTAAGTACTACTATTTTTAATGTAATTTCATTTTCTTTCTTTTTTACTTTTTAAAATTTTCGTCTATCTACTCTTAAAATGTCTATTTAGRTCTGTTTCTTTCTAATTTTATTGTAATTTCAAAACCTTTGTTTTGATTATTGTTATYTAAAAAGGTGGTAATTCTAGTATATTCATCGACAAAAYATGGATTTTATTAAAATTTTTGTACAATAACTAAAACAAATATTTTGAAAATAAAACTAAAATAAAATCAGCGACAAAAATAGTAATAAATATCTGCGTTTTTGTTTTTTGCTTGTGAACTGTTACATAATAAAGACAAATAAAAAGATGAAGATAAGAATCTGTTGACCTATGGAGTTCTTCTCCGAGCTCGAGTTTTATCTTCTCTTCGTCTTCCTTAACTCTGCTCCGTAGCTAATCCCCCTCCATTTCCTGCGAATTCCACGAATTTTTCTCTGAAATTTCCCCTCGATCGCTTCCTCTTTTGAAAACCCTCTCCGATTTCCCCCTCGTCCTTTTGTTTTTCTGTGAATTCGCCTCCAATTTCAGACTCTACGCGAAAATTTGAGTGGAACAAGCAAAGTAGTGGCTGAGTCTGTGCATGACGAGCGCTTCGGAGCTGTTTCATCATCGGAGGTACAGGTGGGGCCGGACCGACGCGGATTTAGGGCTTGATTCTGAGCCTCCCGATCGGCATCTTCCGTCTCCACGGCGTCATCATGGTCACACCGGCACTCATCGCCGCGATTTGAACGCCTGTGGCGCTTTCCGACGATCCTCGCTGCAAGAACGCCATCAATCTCCCCGGTTTTCGTACCCTGTAAGGACAAATCTTAACGAATACTGGGTTTGTGTTGCTTCATCGCGTGCGATTCTTTCGGTGTTGTAAATACTTAGGAAGAATTGTTCAATTTTGGTTTTGATTTGGGGGTTTTAAGCGGTGGAATTCTGTTTTGGTTTCTGACCTATCTGTTCGTCTACTTCCAAACTGTATAATCAGTTGAGAATATGCTGGAAGAGATCAAATTTGCCCTAATTTATCAGCGTAAGTTTTTAGAATGGTTTGATCAGGTTCTTATCAAAAAAAGAATGGTTTGATCCGGGATACCGTGCGATTGAAAGTATTAATTATAGACTTAAGTTTTTCCGGGTTTAGGAGTGATTTAACAATAATTCTATTCCATCCACCTGTTAAATTAGTCATTATTTTCGTTCTTCAGTTCTAATTCTGTTTTTATATTGCTGTTAAATCCTTAGAATCAGAACAAAGCAAATGGCATAACTTGGTACTGAAAGACTGAAAGTGATGATGATGAATAAAATTTTCCCAAATTTATTTGCTTTCTACTGCTACTTAGCTATGAAACCAGGATTAAATTGGGGTGTGATCATATGGAGACATTCCTTCGATCGACTTTAGGTTGCTTTTGTACATTTYTCTGGGTTGTCATCTTGGTCTGAAAGTGAGTTCAATTAGTTTGGAGACATTAACACTCTGTATCTTCATTGTAGCTTGCTCAGGATCGGTCGGCTGCTCAGTCTGACTCGGTTACAAGTCTTGGTTCTAGAAATAGTATTAATGCGAATATTCATATTCGGAACAGCTCGAGGACTGGGTTGAGTGRGGATTCCAGATTGCCAGGAGCCGTTTTACTTGCTAGGGAAAGGCTTCTGGAGAGATTGAGAGGTGCCTCTTTGCCGACGAGCAGGTCAGTTGCTATACAGAAAATTTTAGAACTTCAATAGGAATGCCCCATTCCATGTCGATTCTCCTAGAGATATAAGCTTTGTAGCTATAGACACCTCATCGACTCAGTGGGATCTTTCTAAATTTAGTTGAATCATAACTGTGGTATGAACCTACTCATGTGATTTTCTTTGTCAATGAGGATTTGGCTGTATCGTATAACTCAGAAAACAGGACTCAATCCAGCAATCCCCATAAAGTTAACAGGATCCAATCCAGCAATCCCCATAAACTCGTAAAGTGTCGTACAGTTTCGAGCTGGAATTTATCATTCTTAAGAAAATATGTATATGTAAACTACATGTTGAAAACTGGAACTGATTCCTGCTCTGTACTAACCGAACTGGTATTGATCAGGAATGGTCTTACTGAAGCATCAGATGGGAATCCAGAAATCTCGACAAGTCAATCGCAAAGGATCTCCCTCGTCGATGCTGACAGGCTGCAATTAGTTCCTGAACTCAACAAGAGGCCCCCTGGTCTCTCACRGGAGGCAGTGGACCGCTTACAACTTGAGGTTTTTATGAATACAGAGCATATCATTGACGATGACCCGACAACGATAACGTCAACAGATTGTAGTATATGTCTAGAGAGTTTCACAGACGGAGACAAACTCATCCATCTGCCCTGTGAGCACAAATTTCACCATGCTTGCTTGGACCGATGGGTTCGAAGTTGTGGAGATTGTCCATATTGTCGACAACGTATCGATGTAAACTAATATTTTCTAACGAGTTCGAAATCTCAACTTGGGATTTGCAGTATGTAGAAAGCTTAGAGACTTCAGTTAACAACCAAGTTGTGGTATTAATCTTTATAGTTGAAGTCCATATTTGTATCCTTCTGAGTTCTGAATTGTGTTGGGACACCAAACTGTGTGGCAGTTTTAATAGCCAAGAATGTGTGAAGGATATTATTTTCTTGGTTTTAATTATTGAAGAAGGAAAATTTACTTCAACTGATAATGATTTTGTGTTTTGTTTTAAAAATTTTATTCTGAAATCTTTTCCATTTGAAAAAAAAAGGGGGTTTTGAAATTTATTTTTATAATTTTATAATTTAACTAATATACTAAGAATACTTTTAATTTAATGTGTATAGCGCATAATTTCATTTTTAAACTTTTTACATTCAAGTTTGGTCAAATTTTATGTTAGCGTATAAGTATGATTTTTAAACACATTAATGGAATATATACTTATTTTGATATGTAACACTTTTTTTCTTAATTCAACTTTTTTTTTCTTAATTCAACGATATGTGAAAGTGGATATTTGAAGTTCAGTCAGTATGGGCAAACATGCGATAGGTGGACAGAAATAAATATTTAAAAAATTAAAGGAATAGAATAAAATAATACTGAGTGGAATTTTAACTTTTTTTTTTCCTTCTCCGGAACGTTAGTGGAATTTTAACTTATGTTATAATATTTAATTCACATTAATTGCTTGATTTTTAGTAACTGCAATAAATCATTTACTTCTCCGGTAAGTTTTTCTTTCCAACGAATCCAACTTTATTCCTTAATAATCATAAGAATTATACACGTCATAACTTGGCTACCAAGATTCTATCTCTAAATTTTTATTTTTTAAAATTTCTCTCTCTAAATGGACCATATGGGTTGACCAAGTCAACCCTCTCTCTCTTTTTTTTTTCCTTTTTTTTGTTCTTTTTTTAATGGTAGAATAGATCATAAATAAAATGATGGTACTTTCCAAAAAGTTGATGTTTACTGTATTAAATATAATAAATACAGTTGGGATTTTGGGAGAGGAACAATTCAATTTTCTCCCTTAATACCAAACTTTTCCACATTCARAAAAGCCCTGCCCCTAAATTTGGGTCAATTCACATTCATTGCTTTTCTTAAAAAAAGAAAAAAAAAATTCTGACTCAATTCTTTTAAGTTTTTAATTTTAGTTCTACTCTTTTGAATTTTGATCTCTAAACGTCTATTTCTATACTTCTAAAAACACTTATCAATTTAGTTATTTTTAACATAATAACAATTTTTTTATACAAATTTAGAACTCATTTCAAGAAATTTTAGTGAATGAAATGTAATTTATTATCGCTTTTTAAASGTAGAAAGACCACATGAACCTTTTAAAATATATAAAAACTAAAATAACAAAAGTTGAAAGAATAAGAATCAAAATGGACGTTTCAAACTTAAATTGTCCAACWTAACGTAAAGTTAAAAGTATAGGGACGAGAATAGTATTTAAACTTTTTAAATTTTATTCCAATTCCTCAACTTTTTACTTATTTTGTTTTTTATATTTATATTTTAAAAATGATTTGTGYTTGAAACTCGGTCTTACAAGAATATGTGTTTAAATAGAATCTTGGACCATAGAATTATTGAAGTTTATGGAGTGATCTGTGACTTAGAACACATATCCGCATGATGTCATGTTAAATTTCTATTAAATGAAAAATAAAAATTTAATGGGACAGAAAATAATATATATATATATGTGTGTATTTTTGTATAGTTCAAGGATCCAATAAAATTTTGTCAAAAAAAAAAAAAGAATAAAGGATCCAATAAAATATTTGACATTATAAAGACTAAAATGAAATTAATATTATATTCCACGATTGTAAACATTGTTTAACGTTTACTTTAATTTTAAGGTTGTAAATGTAAATATGAATTCCAACTATAAAAAAAGTATCCAAAATATTAAAAGAAATAAAACTCCTAATATAAGAAAAATGAGAATTTCAATTCTTAGTTTTATAAGATATTTTATTTTAATTATCACCTTAATATAAATTTTGAATAAGTTTATGGACAAAAATGAAAATTTTAAAAAGTTATAGGTTAAAATATCACTTTTGTTCCTGTACTTAAGAATTTATTTGATTTTCATCGCTGTGCTCTCTGTCGAAATTGCTTCCCTGTATTTTTACTATATCTAAAAATAATCTTTATCAGGTATTAAGTCAACTATCACTAGAAAAATGGAAAATACATTCATATCGACCTATTCTTTGATAGAACACCTCGAACTCACAGTGGAGACTATTTTAAGATTTATCGAGATTACCATAACTAAATTTAAAGATTTAGACGCAAAGGAACTAAAATGAAATAAGTTAGAGTAAGGGATGAAAATGATAATATCCATTGATGGAAAGAGCAAAACGGGGGGGTGAAAAGTCAACAAATGTGATCAAAATTGGGGAAGGAGGGGGAAAAAATGGACGCTTTATTTACGCGGATTCTGAAGAGTATGGAAATGGTGCGATTTTCAGTTTTTTCTCGTTCCTTCCACTTACGCTTACGCGGTACTACTTCTTTTTTCTTCCCCACTGCGCCTCTCTCTCTAAACCCAACCTAAAATTTCAACAAATCCCATTTTGCAGACAAACATACCCACCAGACCCACATCTTCAAGCACGCGAAGCGACCAAATTTGATCACAAACAGGCCCTTTTTTGCTCCCCCATCGGAACCCCATGATGTTGAGATCATTCTACCGGCCGCTGGAGCGCTGTTTTGGGCGCTGGGCCGGCGACGGCCTGCTCTGGCACTCTGAATTGAAGCCTCATGCCTCTGGCGATTACTCGATCGCCGTTGTTCAGGCCAACTCCTGCCTTGAGGATCAGAGCCAGGTGTTTACGTCTCCCTTGGCTACCTATGTTGGTGTTTATGATGGCCATGGCGGCCCCGAGGCCTCTCGCTTTGTGAATAAGCATCTCTTTCCTTATATGCACAGTGAGCCCCCCTCTTCAAAGACCCTTTATGTAGTTTTTTGTTTTTGTTATGTGTGATTCAGTTTGGCGTGATGGGATTCTTTTGGATTTTGGAAATTTTTTTCTGGGTTTTTTATAGTTTTAGATTATGAAGCTTTTTATGGTCAATGTGCAGTTTGATGTCATTGGGATATCTCTGGTTTTGTGATTTTGTTTGGAATTTGGTCATGATCAAATGGTGAAATTAGAGGGGAGGAATAAAGGAAGACTGGGATTTGTTCATCGGAGTTTACTTTTTGAGTTTGTTGCAGAGTTTGCTACTGAACAAGGTGGGCTCTCGGAGGATGTTATTAAGAAGGCATTCAATGCTACAGAAGAGGATTTTCTGCGTTTGGTGAAGCGGGCTCTGCCTGCCAAGCCACAGATTGCTTCAGTTGGGTCATGCTGCCTCGTGGGAGCGATTTCGAATACGAAATTGTACGTTGCGAATCTCGGGGATTCGAGGGCTGTGCTCGGCCGGAGAGGTTCGGAGAGTAAGAGAACTCCGGTGGTTGCAGAGCGGTTGTCTACTGATCACAATGTTGGAGTTGATGAAGTTAGGAAAGAGGTTGAAGCACTGCATCCTGACGACTCCCATATTGTTGTCTATAGCCGTGGAGTTTGGAGGATAAAGGGCATAATTCAGGTAAATTTTGCATCCTTCAAGTTTAATAATGGCTCCGTGATCTCGTTAGAACGATTCGTGTTGCTTTCTTGCCTGTTGATGCATTTGCTCTCATGGTTAATGATCAGAATCTTATTCGAGTTCTCTTTGAACATATCACAAGTTGTGTTCTAATTGAGACTCTAAAATGAAAACTCTGTTTCTCTTTTTGTTGGAAAAAGCTGCATTGGCAGAAAGGAACATATCTACTTCATTGCAAAATACATCATCTTTAGAATTTAGATCAATAACTAAGAACAGTCAGATTTGATGTTTCCCATATAAGCTAATAGAAACCTTTTGGTATCTTCTGTTTACTTCCTGTCTTGTTTTCAATAAGATATTTGTCTAAACTTTCTTCTCTGTCTTAGTCTCATTCTGTTTCCTTGTCTGAAAGATCTTAGTTTCATGTTTGATTCACTTAATCCTATGGAATTTGTATGCTTGCTTGCTTTTTTCGCCTCGAGTTGTCGGATTACTTAACTTATACCTATATGCAGTGTGATTACGGCCTGTGTGACCGGTGCTTATCTGAGTTATTAATATCTTTTTCATTACTCCAATCCTTTTGAAAGTTCAGGTTTCAAGGTCTATCGGCGACGTCTATTTGAAGAAACCCGAATTCAACCGGGATCCAATATTCCAACAGTTTGGGAACCCCGTCCCGTTGAAACGACCAGTAATGACCGCAGAACCATCGATCCTGACACGAGAGCTTAAACCCCAAGACTTGTTCCTGATCTTTGCATCAGATGGCCTCTGGGAACAACTGACTGATGAGGCTGCTGTGGAGATAGTTTTCAAGAACCCAAGAGCTGTAAGTTGCAAACAAACTCCCATTTCATTTCAACTCTCGAAAATAGCTAACAAAACTCCAAACACATCTAACATTTCTTTCTCTTTCTCAGGGAATTGCAAAGAGATTAGTGAGAGCCGCCCTCCACGAGGCAGCAAAGAAGCGGGAGATGAGATACGCAGACATAAAGAAGATCGAAAAGGGGATTCGGCGTCACTTCCATGACGACATAACTGTTATCGTCGTCTACCTCGACCACCACAGAAGCTCACCTACAGGGCGGGCGAAGAACGGCATTGCCGGGTACACGAGTGCACCCGTTGACATCTTCTCTCTAAACTCAAACTATGAGGCAGAGGAAAAACTTGGCAACAGCATGTTCTGAAAGATTGAATTGATCTGAGAGGTAAATTAATGATACACACAGAGATTAGGAGGAGAAATGGTAGGTATGGGATTGACAAGAGCTGTTCATCAGTAGAAGAAAACACAGTTGATGACTTTGTAGATAGATTAAATTTTAGTCACTAATTGCTGCTCTAATGGAAACCAGCTACCTTTGATTTTTTTGTACTCAATTCTAACCACTTTTTTTTTCTTGGTTTATTATTGATTTTTTTCCATTGACTTGTTTGAAGTTATCATCACATTCAATAATGGCAGCCACTTCTGTTTTTTCCCCCTTTTACACCTATTTTGTTAGTCAATTACATGTTTTTTTGGGGGGAAATTTCAGTATTTAGTCATGTAATTAGCAGACATATTAATTGATTTATTCTAGGTTAAATTGTACGTTGAGATTTCTTTTTTTAATAAAGAAAAAGAGAATTGCATGGTCCGAACTAAGTGGAAATGAGTGAGTGAGTAATAATATGATATTTTTATTGATCTGGTAGGTTGCCTAATTTTAATAATTTTTATATATTATTTCTCTCTAAAATATCATGGAAATAATGACTAAACATTAACAAAAGAGTTTTAAAATATTTGAAAGGTTGACAAATATTAATGTTGTAGTTTGCAACTTTTTTTTTGGTATAATAAATTAGGGTCATGGGGTTTGAACTTCCAACCTTAAAGAAGTAGGTGTCAATTACCGAGCTATGCCTAGACAACGTTGACGACATAGTTTTTATATATGTAAAGAATGTCTCGTTGCTATCTCTTTGAGATAAGAAAAGTTGATTTGTAATACTATGTTCTAAACGTAATCGACAATTTAAAATTTCAAGTGTAAGATGTCTAAGTTTGGAATTAGTTGTTTTTCTTATTTGCATTGTTTTTACACAATTAGAACATATCAAGACTTCAAATTATGAATTGGAAAGTTAAAATGAATTCAAAGATGAAATATATATTTCCTTATTATCTCATTGTATAAAACTTCTTTTATTTATTTTATTAATAATATCCACTTGCTGTCCAGTGTTCTTGAGACATTGTTTATCTGGTGATGGAATTGAAAATTTCAAACAATTATTTTATTATCATTTTAACCCACCAAATTTAACTAAATTGCCATTGACCAATTTCAATACAGATATTATAACAATCAAACTTGATCTAAGTCTATAATTCTTTAATCTTAATTACTATTGGATAAGTGATTATATTTTGATTTAAATATAAATTTAGCTCAGGTACTTTTGACTTTAGTTTATATCAATCCCTGTATTTTCAAAACGTCCTTTTGACTTTAGTTTACATCAGTTCCTGTATTTTCAAAACGTCCTTTTGATTTAGGTACTTTTAATTTTAGTTCATTTTAATCCATGTACTTTCAAAACGTTCATTTTCATCCCGGTAATGACTGCGTACAACTTTCCTATACCACAGTAACAGAGTTTGTATGATTTTACTTACAGATGTAGATGATAAAAAGTTTCTACAATTTTGATATAGGGAATATGTATTTCAAAAAAAATATACATATATATAGGGAATATGAATACAATCATAAAGATCCCATAGCTGATTCCTCCCTCTCCCCAAACAGATGAGAGAAACCAAGTCTCTTTTCATGTTTGCATCAGGTCTTCTACAAAGCCATGAATGAGTTCAAACTTTCTGCACCATTTCTCAGAGTTCACCCTCCGCACCCGGATTGAGCGGTTTTTTCGGGCGAGAAGCGAACATCTCCTAGAACGTCCAGCTTCCTTCTTCGCTATGACCATTTCTTGGTTAGACGCTCCAGCAACCTACATTCCTCTTCCTTAGTTACATGTGGGTCAAGATTCCGTAGATTGGAAACGAAACTACTCGCCTCCTCCCGACGGTTTAGTTTACAATACCAATCCACTAGAGAGTTGTATGTGTTCTGATTGGGTTTACATCCATTCTTGATCATGTACCTCACCACGTCGATTGCCTCTACAAACATCGARTCAGCTGCATAGGTTGCSACAAAGGTATTATACGTAATTACATCGGGGATGAGCCCAAAATCCTTCATTTCAGCAAATATCCGYGAGGCCTCTTTCATTCGACCATTTCGACAATAGGCRAAAATAACAGTATTGAATGAAATGATATCAGGCTTTATTCCTTTCCCGATAATTTCCCTCAAAATGTCCTCCGACTTCTCGAASTCCTCRGTGCGGCTATACATGTACATTAAGCTATTGTATGTTGTCAAGCTCGGAGTGAACCCGCTGTCCTTTATGAAGTTCAAAATTTCGTTGGTTTTCGAAACCATCCTTCTCCTACCATAAATTGAAACCATGGCATTTAGAGTCGTTATATCGGACGAAAAYCCTTGTCTCMTAAGTTCCAAGAAAGCACGTTCGGTCTCCGTCAGAAGATCACTTTTACTATAAACCAAAACGAGTGTCTTCAAAAGCACAGCTTGAGGTTCGATTATGCCAGAATAGATCTCCTCAGCAAGAGCAGACATTCGCCCAATCTCTTTGCCATTGGCATAAGCATGAAGTAAAGAACAATACGWTARCTCGTTAGGCTTACACCTACCATCCTTCATTTCGGCGAGTACTTTCTCTGACTGCTCCCAAAGGCCACCCCGAGCCAAGGCCGCTAGAACGGCATTGTAAGTGGACAGATCGGGAGTGACCCCGGCATCCAACATTCTTCTATAGATAGCCATTGCTTGATCAAAAGAACCACATCTGCTATAGGCACTAATAAGAGTGTTGAAAGTGTCCCTCTCAGGCACAAACCCCGCCCTCTTCATCTCTTTGAACACTCCTGAGACTTCACAATCCATCCCATTTTGCCCAAACACTGCCAAAAGTGTATTCCAAGTAACAATGTCAGGCACACACGCACATATCTTAATCTCCTCAAAAACCTTCATCATCTCCACAAAATTACCCCGATTACCGTGCATCTTAATCAGAGCATTGAAGGTGCATATGTTCGGTTGGCACCCCGCAACTCTCATCTCCTCGAACACCCTCATTGCATAATCATCCTTCCCCGTCTTCTCGAAGCCAGACAACAGCGTGGTGTAAGTAAAAACATCAGGCTTTATCCCCTTCTCCRCCATCTGCRTTTTGAGCTCCATAGCTTCMTCCAACAAACCATCCCGTGCATAAGCCGATATCAACGAATTGTRAGTGACAATACTAGGTGCAAACCCACTCGCTTCCATCTCCTTCAACACCTCCATGGCTTCCCTAGGCCGCCGAGACTTCCCGTACACATCCAACAACGCATTGTAAGTAACCTTATCCGGACTAAACCCAGCTGCTTTCATCTCCTCAAACACCTCTGCAGCTTCTTCATACAACGACCCCCGACGACAACTACTAATAAGCGTATTATACGTATACAAATCCGGGGCAATCCCYRAGCTCTTCATACTATCAACAAGAGCAGCAATCCTATTCCAAGGCATGCCCATTTTCCCATACACATTCAAGATCACATTATAAGTAATTAAAGTGGGTCTACAACCTTCTTCTTCTARTTTCTTAAAGASCATCACAGCCTCTCTRTACCTCYCATTACTAGMATAAGCAGTTATCAAAGAAGTATAAGCATAAATATCGACAATTACCCCATCGTTTCGAAGCTCGTGAAGCAAAGAAGCCGCGAACGAAGCCCGACCCTCTTTCCCAAGAACACTGATAATCACAGCAATCGCAGAGCTGCTCAAAAACGATGCATAATCTTCCCGGTTACGAACCCAATCGAAGACACGCAAGGCCAATTCGTGCTTCTTGCYGAATACCAAGCCCTTGATTATCCCCAAAATGTCGAGGGAAACGGAATCGGAGGCGAAATCGAGCTCTTCGGGACTGGTTTCGAACAATTGAAGCAAAATTTCATCGAGAGAGGAGAAATCGAATTCTGGGTCGAGGAAGGAATCGATGATTCGCTGGCCTTGAGGGGAGAGGCGGTGGTGCGACCATGGCTTCCCGCGGTTGGGGTCGCGGGACCGGCCGATGCGGGTTCGGGCGCGGGTCCTGGAGGTGGGGGAAGCGGGTTTGGGGAGATGAGTGAGAGGGGAAGAGGGGGATTGGTGGGGAAGAAGGAGGTCTTGGAGAAGAGGGGCTATGGGGGACGATGAAGAAGGGGGCGGCGGCGGCGGCTGCGGCTGCGGCTGCGGCGGAGTGGGTTGGTGGTGGAAGACGKGGAAGAGGGGTTTAGAGGGCACTGGACTGGGGAGGAGGAGCGGAAGTGCGACCWTGTCCGCCATTTTTGGCCACTCTCAAGATTTTGCAGTGGTTTAAGCTGTGGTCTGGATTTCGTTTCTCGGTAGAAATTGGATTTCAATTTTTTTTAGTACACGTGGGGTGGGATGGGTGGGATGGGGTTCAAACTCAAGTACTTCAGACACAGGTGTCTTAATCATTTGAGTTATGTTCGGTTTGGTAATTGAATTTCAATTTCTGAAGATTTTGGATTTTTTTTTATATTTTTAATATTGTAAAAAAGTTAATTATTTATTTAAATATTATTTTGAAATTAAATTTTAAAATATTGTAGTAATTTTAATGCACTAAGCTTATAATTTCATCAAATTAGTAACTGTATTTGCATTGCAATTTGTACTTAAATTTTGAAAATCTCTCTAAAATATGTGTGGACAAAAAGAATTTAAAATCTTTTTATTTTTATTTTTTGTTTATATATTTATTTATAATATTCAATTATAATTAGTAAAGATAAAATTTATAATCAATATAAGTATTAAAATTAATTAATAATAATGTATTAAATTAATATAGAACTATCAGAGCTAATAAATTAAAAATAATTATTCCATTTATTAAAATAAGCACTTTGTTGGAGGTGAATCCTGGGCTGCCACGTGTCATGATCGAAAAGGTGAGTTCGTTAAACACGCGGGCGAAATGGAGAAAGCGGCTCCAAAATGCTCAAGTCGGCAGTCAGGGTAGGACCTATAGTGTCGAGCTGAGCTGGTACAAAGTCCGTAACAGTGTCCCTTCCGTACCCGACAACACGCCGCGATTTTAGGGTGTGTCAGAACCCCTGTCGGGCCCAGTTTCTATAAATAGAAACTTTTGCCTTAAATGCAAGGTACGCAATCCCATATAGACTCGGCAAGTTAGCTCGGCCCGGAACTGACTTGTTCGTCTAAGTGCTAACTTTGTTTTGCAGGACTCCAGGGTCTTCTGGGAAGGTGTTGGACCGTTGGCCGCAGTTCATCCTGAACGTTCCGATCTACGTCACATCCGAGCTCAGCAATTTCGGGCACAAATACACTTGATTTATTTTATTTATAGAAATATATTAAACTAATAAAATTAAGTATTTCTTGAAAATATTAAGTAATTAATATATTAAAATAATTAGTTAAATCAACTTATACTAAAAGATTCATTTTTTAGTAATTATATAAAACCACTTAAAAAAGTATTAATTTCAAGGTTTCAATTTTATAGAAATGTCATAATATTGATAAAATGTAGACGCATATTTTTGGAGAAAATTATGAAAATAAAAAAATTTTAAATTGATAGACAAGCCTTTCACAATTTTAAATAAATTAAAACTTTTATTATTAATATTATGCCTAGCTTAGTATTTTTATTGATATTTCTTTTATATTTTTGTTGATATATATTTTTTATTTTATTGATATATATTTTTTAATTTATTGAAATTTTGAAATTTCATAAATTGAAAACATATACAGAAACACCGAGACGAAAATTTAATACTTTAAGTAAAAATAATTTATATTTTTAATTTTAAATAATTAAAAGTGCTTTTAAAATTTTTACTAAAAACATTTTAAATAAATTTATGTTGGCAAAAAGAAATTTAAAATGTCGGTTCAACATTCGATATAGAAAAACAAAGGTTAAATGACCGGTTAAGGTATAGGGGGGTGAAACAATCGTACAAGACCCCAATCTTGATATTTTATATATATATATATATATATATATATATATATATATAATATTTTTAGCTATTTATTTTTATTTTTACTTATTAAATATATTTTATAATATAAAATAATATATTTCCATACATTTAATTCTTATAATATTGAAAATATAATTAATAGTTCTATTGAAAAACAAAAAAGCTTTGATGAAATGTAAATCTTTAAAAAAAACATATCATCAATCGATCCTATAAATTTAGTTTATTTCAATTTTATTTTATTTTTATTGGGAAGGAAATTGGGATAAAAGTACATAAAGTAAAAAAAAAATGATAAGAGAGGCATGGAGACTAGATGCCTTAACCACTTAGCTAGGCTCGATTTGGTGCATGAAGATCCCGTTACATCCATAATCAATAGGGAAAAGAGACACGTAATAGGAGGCTCATTGCAAATATGTAAATCTAAAGGAAAAAATAATGTTTGATTACTGAGCCAGCACAAGAATTGACTTTATGATAAATTATTTGTGGGATACTAACACTTCATTCTCTAAAAAGAGCTACTCAATATTTAAGACTATAGGTCGAATAACTCTCTATTTTAATTTGATACATTTCAAATTTTGTTACTTTTATATTTTTCTTCATGGTTAAAACCTTTTAAATTTCATTAAAATAAAACCCAAACTATTAATATAATCATTTCGGAACTCTCTCAAGTTTTAGACTCTATGTATTCTTTTTTCCTTTCATTTATTTTTTCACAATTAAAATTTTTCAAAT